GTACAACTTTTTGGAAAGACAAAAAAAGTCAAAGCAATCTGCACGCCGGGTTTTCAAATCTTCAAAGTATGAACGTTAACTGCTCACACAACTATTGTTGGTAATTACTTTTACTGCCCTCTTGTGTCTGCAGTAGGGAACTACAACACAAATGCAGGCAGCAGCATTTCTAAAATACAGCGACCAATAGAAGTGAAATAAGCTGATCTCGTTGCCATAGTGAAGACTTCAAACACTTCCAACTATAATACAGATGCTGTCCCACATGTGACCTTAGTGACTCCCCACATGAGCTGAAACATCTTCATGAACAGCTGTCATCCACTCAAGATGGTGAAGATGCACAGAGGTCTTTATAGAGGTTTAACAAACTGATGTTGTGGTTCCTGTCGTGACCACTGGGGGCAGCACAGATTAGAATACATTTGCCCCTTAAACAGGCAAATTAAACTTTAAAAAACGTGCATTGATGTCATTAATAAGCCAATACATCATATTTTCAAAACTGAGAATCACATGATGACCTTTATTGAACACAATGTGAAGAGCCCAGCAGTGAACACACATGCAATACAAAGGTTTGACCAGCAGGTGTCACTGATGTGACTTTGACACAAACAGGTTTGTTTCCTCCACCTTCAGACAAAAAATAAAATAAAAGGAGGGTTTTTTGAGGTTGCTGGTTTCAGGACTTTTGTACCATCAACTGGACCAAATCCAGAGTCCCACAGTTCTCTAAAAACACGTAACACTGTGCTCAGTTCTGCAGGAAAACAGGAGAACATCTGTGAACAACAAGCTGTCCTGGCCTGTCTTTGTATCAGCTGATAACAGATTACGCCAGGCGGCTGAAATGTGTCCAGACGAGTAATAAAAGCAAGACAAGTGAGCAGTTGCAGCAGATAAATCCTATGACAGGGTGTGTGCAGAACACGTATGTAAAAACAAAAAGCTACGCAGGAAAACTCGCAATGTTAAGACATCTGAAGACATTTTAAACCACATCAGGTCCTCTGCTCCACCAGAGTGCAAACATGAGCATGAAAAAAAAATTGGCAGGGCAGGAAAAACCATGGGGAAACTTCCTGTACATTACCACAGACTTTACTCCGTTTAGTTGACTGTTTTGTTAAAATGGCTGCTGAAAGAAATGATAACGGATCATTTGCCGTTTGACGCCCTCCTCCTGCTTTAAATACTGTCAGCAAGCTCAAAAGTAACCATGTAACTAAAAAAAATAAAAAAGCAAAAACAGAATGAAACGCTCAGAGCGCCACCTGTCAGCCAGAAATCAGTCATCAGCTGTGAAATTGGGACGCATGATTCAGATTTCATTTTAAAGCCTCAGCGTCACATTTTGGATTTCTACATGTTGATCCCGGTCACACAGGCGACCGAGGTTAGAGTCAAGATCAAGTCAGAAGTCCCCATAGACTCCCATGTTAAAAATGTCCACCTGTACAGCAGAAATAGACGTGTTCACAGCCTGCTGTCTGTCAGCTTTTAAGCCTCAACAAAATCTAAATGAGTTAAAAAATATGTTATGAAGGAAAAATTGTGCACTGAGACCAAAACAGCTTCTGTATCAGGCTGTACACATGTTTATTTCCGCTTTAAAGTTGCACATTTTTAACATGGGAGTCTATGGGGACTTTTGGAGACATCTAGTGGACGTTGGAGGAACTGCAGGTCTTGGCCCTGATAATCATCACTTTTAGCCACTGTATTCGTCTGATTTCATGCAGGACTCTAACCGCAGGCTAACATGTAAAGGTCCTGAAATGGAGCTTCAGCTCAGATGTTTCTGTGCTGCAGCTCTGAAGGATCAGATTGGTCAGAGAATTCTGAACGAGCCATTTTTATTCGATGCCAACGTGTGGTTGCTGTTCCCAAACGCCACGTGGAGGTTTATGGATACAATCTGATTCCTCAGCACTTTTACTGGTTTTGGTTTTATCCTCCTCTATAACCCGTGAAGTCCAAGTAACCCTAACCTGTAGTAACCATAGTAACCCTGTGCTATGAAATTATGCGATTTTCTCAGAAGTCAAACGCCAAAAACGACACAGTCCTTTTAATCATGTCCAAACCTCAGGGTTAGGGGCTCGAGCTACTTCTCATTATCTCTGATGACTTAATAGTGCGTCCACATCAAACAAAGGCTTTGCAGAGGGTCGTGGCTGCCACTCGAGGTTTCTAAAAGTGAAGGGTAAACCATGTAACGTGATATCAGGGTGAATGCTGTGGGCTTCTGAGTGGCTGCAAAGTGGTTCACCCTCCATTTGGTGTGAAGATGAGACCTCACTGGGTAAATGTGCAGATGGAAGACGGCTGAGCTCAATCAGTGTTACTCAGAAAGTGAGAGGACTGCAGGAGAGTGGACAGTTAGTCCTCAGACTGAAACTCTGTCCACGGACTCGATTACAAACAGCAGAAACCGTCACTGCAGAAGCGAGCCGAAGACAGGAGCTGCAGTTTGAGCTTCAACCCAACAGACGTGCGAGCGGCTTTTTTTTGTGTGTGTGAGGTGAAAAAAAGAGGAGCAGAAATGTTTGGACTGGGACTTTGGAGGAGCCGGCGTCTTAAAACACGAGCACCTTCCAGCCGGAGTGGGCGAAGGAGCAGCCGAAGAAGAGGCAGTCCACCGGCTGGTCCACCAGCCAATCGAACACCACCTCGCGGTTCCCCGAGCCGATCGTCACCCTCAGCTTGAAGTTGCCGCCCTCGCTCGTGTTGTTGTTGCTGATGGGGAACAGGCTCACCACCTCCATGTCAAAGGTCACGGCGGAGCCAACGGTGACGGCGGGCAGCTGGTTGGTCATCTCTTTCCCGTTGACGAAAACGGCACCTGAGGAGAAAAAGTTTGAGAGAATTCAACATTTGTTATTTATCGTAAAAAAGAATTGAAGCTGAACTTTAGTTAAATTGAAGTTTGAAGTTTAATTTTCAAGCATCTCGTTTAAATGCTTCCCACGGGAGGAATTCTACACTTCAGGAGGTTTTTCCACTCTCCTGTTTTCAGCTTCGGTGATTTTGCTTAAAGTCTCTTTGTCTCCTCGTCTCCGATGATGCTCTGCTCTTTGCTTCTGCATCAACACGTCACCACCACAGAAAGGCTCCACCTTTCAGTGAGAGGCTTCAAACATTATACATCCCATAACTGGGAATAAATTAAATTATGGTCCATACTCACAGTCCTGCCCGGAAATCTAATCCCTATAACGGCTCCATCTCCCACCAGGAGGGAAACCATTGATCTAAAACACGCCGTCCACACAGAAAGCCTCATGAAGAGAAACCTTTCAGAGCATCAGAACTTGAAGGAAATGACTTTTCAGATCTGATCAACAGAAATTAGAGACTTCAAGAGCAGTTTTTTGAAAAATAATGGAATCAACAGTCTGCAGCCTGTTTTTATACTTCAATGAAGCTTAAAGTGCCGCTGTAGGAAAACAGCAGCGTGGTGGTTAGACCCCGTGGATCCCGCCATCTGATCGTGACTCCTCCCATTTTAAAGCCTCGACTTTAAACATTGTGTTTATATTTGTGTCTAAACAAGAACAACTTGCACTGACCTCATCATTTATTCACAGTCTTTGAAAAGGACCCATTAGAAATGAATCCGCCACTGAAAATAGTCCCTGACAAGTGCACTATTGTCTCTGGTGTAATTCAGTTTTGTTTGTATTTCACTGATTCACAACTGCAGTCGCCTCAAGGTGCTTGGATTAATACAGAGAAATCAAACGACCCCCTTTGAGAAAGCACTTGGCGACCGTGGGAAGGAAAAACTCCCCTTTAACAGGAAGAAACCGGCTGGCGGTGAGAGCCTTTCCTATCTGCCAAAAAACAAACATTTTCGAGGAGACGAGTTTCAGGCTCGAATCCTCAGCTGTGAGCCGCGCAGACTCGCCCTGTACTAACTGAGTTTTTCAAGTCTATCTGAGGCGGCGTACCGTTGGTGGAAATGCAGACAGCCTGGTCCCGCTGTAGTGACTCCTCCTCACTCTCGCTGTCTATGCACACGCCCAGACTGTCCCTCCGATCCATCTGACCTGCTGCAGAGATCCTGCACAGACACACAAACACGCCGTTGGCTGTGGATTTACATACGATCTGTGCGTGACGTCCAGGAGAGAAATGGAAAGCTCTCCATCTTTAAAGCTTTGTTGTGGGCGTACTTGAACGTGAGCGTTTGGCCGCAGAAGTAGGTGGGCGCTTTGGAGTAGAGGACATGGCAGCGCGATTGGGAGGAGTCATTGCGCAGAGCGATGTTCTTCCTGCTGCTCAGGATGTAGCCCTCGGTCCCTGAACGCCACTCTGGAAGATAAAACAAACACACAGCGTTCGTTAGCGGACTATCAGACGACCTGATCTGCTTCAGTTTAACCTTTTAGGTATTAACACGGCTCCACACTGCAGTGGAGACAGAGACGGTCTCTGCTGGTAGCACAGAAACACAGAGGTCGTGCTGATGTTTCCATTAGATGCTGCCTTCCTGTTAGAGGCGCACTGATTGGCTAGTGACTGCATGAGAAGGCTGCAGCGAGTCCTGCGCACATAAATGCTTACAGGCCTGTGATGATGTCACGGTTCCTGCAAACAATTACAACACGACTGCATTCACAGCTCTGTTATTTCAGCTGCAGCCCGGGAGGCGTTAAAGGGTCTGAGAGTTAAAAACAGAATGAAAACTGGCAAATGTTTTAGAGAAAGGTCACAAAGACGAGGCAGAGGTCCTCGAAGGACGATAGAGTAATAATATTTAAAGTTATCTGTAGCCAACAGGAGGTGAAATCTCTGTTTCTTACTGATGCTCGTCTGTAAGAAACAGACGAGCATCAGATTTTAGTGCCTTAAAAGCTTTGGGAAGAGATGCAGGTCTTTGATTTGCTTTAGCAACTCCGACATGAGTGAACTTCACCATTTGCTGCTACAGGGTTTCCCTCTCTTAGGGGCTCGGCCGGATGTCTCCACCTACCGTGCGGTGCCAGCGTGGTGTAGCCCGTCTGCGGGATGCTCCAGGGGCTCCACTCGGTGCGACCCTCCCCGCGGGCGCAGACCCTGAACAAATAATCCGTGTGAGGGTCCAAGTGGAGAACCAGGAACTCCGATTCCCGCCCGATGTAGGCGTCCTCATACTGGCTCCCCCCGCTGCCGGAGCGCCGGTACTGCAGCCGATAATCTGCAGCCGCGAAGTCCTCGTCCACCTGAAGCACAAACAATAACGTCCAGTTTTAATTAAGATGCAGAATAATGTACTTCCTTTACATTGTAACAACAAATGTCCATATTTGAGCTGCGATTCCTCGGCACAAACTTTCCCCACGAGCTGCAAACTTAAAGGAACACGAGTGTTTCCACCAGAGACTAAATGAACCTTTATCCACACAAACAGACGAGCTCGAAGGATTTTGGTCCCGACTGGTGCAGAGAAGACTTCACTGCAGAGGCTGACACTCAGGTGAAGTTTAAATGCTGTGAAAACTCAAACTTAAAGGACGTCTCTGAACTTCTGGCGTCCATTTATGATCAGGAAATGTCATTAGTAAGTTCAAAGAGCCCTTAAATACACTGGCAGTTTAACCTCCTTAATTACACCGACCTTAACTTTCACTGTTTGAGTCGAGTAGTCTGCTTTTTGTCCACAACATTTAAAAGTGTTTTACAGAGTGAGTGAGCAGCCTGCCTGGGAACTTTTATTTTGAAAGCTGACAGGATCTTCCTACCCACCTCTGTGTGGTGCGATGGGACTTTAAACAATCAGCATTATCTCAGATCGTGGTCTTTTGTTACGCTCTGCAAACTCCAACAAGCTTCCTGCTCGGTCTCTTCACCTGGAAAAGCACCGTGTGTGTCCCGTTTACCCCTGCTGACCTTACACCAGCGAACCAGGATGCTGCCTGGTCTCTCCTGCAGCTCCTCTATCTGGACGGGCGGGTGGGAGGAGACGGCGCCGTGGCGAGCCACCCGGTCCCTCAGCAGGCTCAGCAGGGAGTCGTCAAACTGGGCTGAGACACACGGCACGTCCACCAACGCTGGAACCTCTGGCAGGCTGGAAAACACGCACACAGTTGTAAACAGCAGCTGATTAACTTTTTCTTTAAACACCGTCGCCTGTATCACCTGTCCAGCTGGATGTGCATGGCCTTCTTCGTGAAGCTGCCCAGCTTGTCCTCCTTTTCTCCGAGGCCACATCGCAGAGCTGCTTCTCCTGCACAGAATAAGCATGGATCATCTTTCTGCGCTTGCTTTTGCTCTGAATAATTGTGAAAACTGTGGTGGCTGTAAATCATCGTCTCTCCTTCCTGAAAGTAATATTTTGCAGCTGTGTTCGTGGCAGCGTTTGTGCGACCCACCCTCTCTCAGCAGCTCGTCGGCCTGGCCCACGCCGTGCTCGATCAGGCTCTGACAGTCGTCCAGCGGCTTGATGCTGTCGGCCTCGATGGTGTCGACCTCGGTCAGGAGGTTAGCCAGCCGCTCCGCCAGCAGTCGAGTAGCCGCCGCCTGCAGCTCGGCGAAGTGCTTCCGGAGGGTCTCGCGGGCCTGACCCGAGCTGCCTCGAATCTGAGCCACCAATCAAAGAGGAAGAAGGTAAAAACAGGTGAGGATGCGAGAGAACGACATAACCGAGTGTTTCTGTCATCAGACGTCTCCTCGTTTTTTATTGGTGCTGTTTTGTGTTTTCTTTGGTCTTTGTTCGTTTCAGCTCCTGAACAGATTTTAGCCAAAGAGTGAGCTCTAAAATAAACATAAAGGGGCTGCGTGAAGGGAAAATATAACATTTTAAGGGCAGTGTGACAGATCGTCACACACTAATTGTAACATAAGCTGAAAAATAACAACAATAATAATGGAAAGTACCAAATTTCAACCTGCCAGTGTCGTCTGAGCGCTCGGTCTCAAGACCATCAAGAAAAAAAACACGTTTCTAAAAGTCGGGTCGGGGTC